TACTATTGCAAATTTTGAATTGTATAATGTCGAGTGTGACCCCTCAAGCTATGAGAGCGCGTTATCTCATTTGGATTTCCGCCTTGGCGAGGAAGCTCACATGGAGGCCCTGATGAATTCTCAAATCAAGTCGCTGCAGCCAATGTTTAAAATATCAAAATATTTTCTGATGGCAAAATGTGTTCTTAGGGTTGCATACTTTAATCAAGAGATCCGTATTTGCAGTAGCATAGTTTAATCAAGTGAATACGGATGTGACACCTTTTTTGGACCGGAGTAGTATGATAGAATCTTTCTTCACATGTGGAAGCTTGTAGTCATTGCGCCCGTGTACCTCAATACACTTTTCAAAATCTTTCTGAAGTATGAGAAAGCGTACCAACAGGCAACTCACTCATCAAACGCGCTTTCTACAGCACCAATTAGCTCCTCCATCGAACGAGTAGACTATTGATGCTGTAGACTTCGAATCGAGTTTAAGAAATTCTAAATCTAACACGTTGAAGTCTGGACAATTTGGTGGTTGATTTGCAATCTAGATGCCTGCGATGCCTCGAGCTTCCAGCGCCGATGTTGTGACTGTTCGGTGGGGGCTGGCATTGTCTTGTTGCACGAACACCCCTTGCCTCGTAGTACCTAACGGCATCTTCTCTTGAATAGCAGGACCGACTTTCTTGAGCACTGTTTCGAAGTAGACGTCGCCATTCACGGCAATGGGGGCCGTGAGCATGGTGCCCTTGGGCCGGTTCTTGCTTGTTCGGGCTGCTGGCGACACCACCACGAAGGGCCACACGCTGATCTTGCCGTCAAACATTTGGCACTTGGAGTAGTCGTACCGCGGGCGGCAACAGCAGCAAGGAACGTAACGTACGTAATGAACAACTTGGACTTGACAGAATGCAGCGCCATTTCATCGTCATCGTACACGTAGAAACGCTTCTTGACCTTTGTCAAGTAGAACCACTACTCATCAATTTGCACATAGTTGTGCATGTCGTTGAAGAAGTGGTTCCCACTTGACGACGGCTCAAGGTGCGACATGGCGTACTTGAGCCTTGCTTGGACATTGGCCTCAGTGAGGTACAGCTTCACGTAACGTGACCGCGCCTTGAGCCTCGCAACCGCCTTCATGTGACGAATGATACTTGCCTTGGGTATGTTGCAGTGCCTCGCCAACGAGCGCATTGTCTGTCGCTCATGCTGGAGCACTGCTTGGCCGGCGGCTTCAATTTCGTCGCTGGTGCGGACGACTTTACGTCCAGAATTGCCTAATCAAGTTTACCTCTTTAATATAATACCCTCAATATATTGTGCAAAACGACATAATATATATTTATAAAGGTTTTACCACTGATTTTTCACCCGATCGCGGCGATAGCGCGTCCGTCGGCCAAGGAGCTGCGTCCTTGCTTCCACAGGCGAGCTATGATACGCCAGTGGAAGTCATACAGCTGGGACTAAGCTTTGAAAGCCCCACACGGAAGCTTGCCGCCGACAGAGAGTTCTAAGAGGCTCTCATAGGCTCCGCGCCTCTGGTCGGCCGTGTGGCTTTTGTGCGTCTGACGCCGTCAGGTAATGGGCTTATGGCAACGCTGGCGGTGTGGTAGTGTGTAGAGGGCTCGTGGGATGCGTGTCGTGTGCGTCTTAAGTGAGTGGAAATTCGGAAATGAATGAGTGACAGATCAAAATGTTGAGCTGCTTTGGTTCCCGCCACTTTGGTGGTATCTTGGGAAGTAACGAATTAGTTTGTTCTGAAAACAGCCAATAAAAGTGCTTTTCTTGCGCTTTCGATTGCACCAATCTGATCGAAAATACAACCAAAATGAGAAAAATCCCGCCAATCGAAAAGTCAATGTGACAAACATTACGGACCAGAGTACGTAATATTTCCACCTGACGTTTAAGCGGTGTCAGGACAACAATTTTGGCAGAATTCAAAAAGACACGGGTATAAAATCTTACAACTTCGTGGCTGCGTGTTCACTGTGTTGTGATGGAATAAAGTCGGACACCCCGTCCTACTTTTCATTGATTGGCTAAAATGCTTCTGGAATGTGGAATTATACCTCCATCACTTTATACAAATTTCTGGGAGACATCAATTTGGACATGTGCCATGTTGGCTGATTATTCAATTTACCGAGGTGCCAAAAAGAGTCTGGGTTCCAAGGCAGTGGATGCTTAGGGACATGGCGGGTGCTTTTAGCCTCCAATTGCCTAGGCTGACGTCTCTCCTCTGAGACTGCGTCGCTAAGTATGGCAATTGGACCTAGGCGGGGCACGGGTTGTCGACGTTTAAGAGACATGAGACCCACTGAAGTCCAGCTGTCCCCGTATGTGTCTACTTTCGCGGAACGGCACCTTGGAAGCATATCATGTCTTCCCCTTCAAAGAGGACACTGTATTTCAGCAAAGGGTCTCTCATTCAATGCAACACTGATGAAGGTAACACATCATATAGACTATGTCTCACGTTGACGCTTTCGTGCTAGACGCGCAAACGTCACCATTTTCATCTGACTCAAGCGGCGCTGTCGTCCCAGTTGGGTCTGACCCCAAACAAGCGGCAAGTGTTCCATGATGCCGCTGAACGCAGCAATGATTGACGGCGTTGTGCAGGGGCGTTGAATGTCGCTTACAGTCGCAGCTCAGTGGCAACTCTGCAGCTCACCGACAGCCCATTCACAGAGGATCTTTGCCTGCTTTCTCGTCAAGTCTCGAGGATGTACCTTGAGAAGAGCCGGAATGCCGCTCCCTTGTGAGCCACACCACCAAAGGTGCCAGCCTGTCGCGACACCAACAGATGGTAACTCAAAGTCTTCAGGGAGCAGGTGCCACCGGCCACGCCAGAAGTGGACAGGGTGCACAGGCAGTGCATTGGACTCGACAGGGGTCGTTGCTTGGCTGTGAGTCTGTGTTGTCATTACGACATCATTGACAGCCTTCTTCAGTAGTTCCTCGAACAAAGACTGCGTGATATTGCCAGCGGTTACACCCTTGTCCTCAAGCAGCTTCTCGATGCCCTCGCTGACCTCTTGCGGGAGCGCGCGAATGGCTTCCATGTTTCTGTCGAGCTGCACATGGAGGGCGACGTGAGGTGGGATGCCTGTTGGTTGCATTG